GCCAGTCGGGGAAAGATAAATACCACATGATCTCACTCATTTGTGGAATATAATGGACAACATAAACTGATGAACAAAAATAGATCCAGAGACATAGAAGCATCGAACAGACCTTCAAACCTCAGAGGGAAGGCAGGGGAGGTAAGACATCAACCAAAGGACTTGTATGCATGCATATGAGCATAACCAATGTACAAAGACAGTAGCGGGGTGAGGGCCTGTGATGGGGGGCAGAAACAGCGGGGGAGAGATCGATGGGAGGAAAAGGAGACATATGTAATACTTTCAACAATAAAAAATTTAAATAAAAAATACTCTACCCAGGACACGTGGAGCATAATAACTGGCATTTCAGTGGCTAGATATCACAGAAACTATGAAATGTAAAGGTTGACAGATTTTTAGTAAATTTGGCTCACATTTACCTATTGTTCCTTTAAATAATATAATCAATACATTTGTTAAAAAATAGAAAACCACAAGAACAGAAATTGAAATCCTCAGCAAAATTATAATTTTTCATAATCTCAATTCTAAGTTTAAAGAAATAAACGTAGAATTCCATTAAATCTATAAAACATTTATTTTGTACTCTAAATTGTCATCATTGGCACTGATGTTAAAAATTTTAATGTTAAAACATTAGAGAAAAATACCTAGCCTAAGCTTGTACTTTGGGTTTAATAATATGAAGGCTACTTATACGGGTTTTTTTGTACTATAATATTGACAAAATATATATTTTTTCATCTTAGAAATTTTCTTTCTCAGAGAATGAAACACTTGAAAGCAAGAATAGAAAAGTTCGGCGGACAAAATGGAGACCACATTATTGAAATTCAGAAATTCAAATATAAGCAGATCTGCAAAATCCTAGGGGATCATGTTAGATAAATGTTTATTAGCCAGAGAGGCAGCAAAATCTATTTGTGAAATACCAGAGTTAAAACACTTTTCTAAACATAATAATAATTAAAATCTATGGAGAAGCATATTTCCTTTTGACTTTTTTTTTCTTTTTCTTTTTTTTTTTTGTCTTTTGTCAAAACTAAAGGGGAATCTCAAAAATCCCAGGACTGAGCTAAATCACATATATATACCAAATTCTCAAAAGATTAAAAACATGTGGATTAAAATGTTTTAAAGATTTATGTTTAAAGATAATGTTTCAGAGATATCATACTCACAAATACTTCTGGATAACTGCATTTTTCAATTATATTTCCAAAATATAGCTACTATTTGCCTTATCTATCTTAAATAGCTATAATTACATGATGAAGTATGTAAACACATTTCTGAAGCACTAAAGTCTGAAACCCAAGTTATGAGATTAAAATTTTAGTATAAAAGATAAGGTAAAATTTAATTGGTGGTTTAGGATAAAAGTATTACCACAACCTAAAAGTGACAAGGTTACTAATTCATAAAAAATATATCTCAGCTAGTACATTTATAAAGTATAGACTTACATAGAAATCTATCAAAACAGATAGTATTTGGGGAAACTTTACAACTTGATTTATGAGTTCTATGGTGAGATTATTAAGCACTTCTGTTAAAAAACAAGCATAATAAATATTTCCCTTTACTTCACAGTATGTAATAAGACATTAGAAAAGCTGATATAGTTTTAAAATTGCATATAGTGTTTTCTCACTATACAACAAAACTAGAGTATCTCTAGCATTTTCAGTGGTTTATAACTCATAAATATATATTTGTTAGGGCCACTCAGTGTAATAAAAGACATACCTAAATTGGCACAGATGATGATGGGAGGAAATGAAAGAAAAAGAAAGCTTTTTCATATATGCTGATAAGAATATTTCTATATTTTATAATAAAATCTGGTGAAATATTTAAGACTAAAAGAATAAAGTGTTATTTTAGTTGGGTTTAAATGTTTCTAAAACTTGATAATGCAGTTTCCCTAATGAAAATGAACTTCAAAAAATAAAAATAAACTTCAAAACACTGAAATTCATCAATGCTCCATCCATGGCTAAGTGATGAGAAACATCCTAGGCACAACCTAAGTTAACACTATTCAAATCACATTCGTTGTTTCAGGAAGCTATTTCCAAATTTATAATCTGGAATAAATGCAAAGAATACATGTTTGCAATAGAACAAATAAGCTATTGGCTAACAATAGTGAAATCCTAAGTGAATTCCATGGAGGCCTTACAATATTATTAGGTATTATTTAGTTATAAGTAAATGAATAATTGAATTTATAGCTATTTTTAAACTAAAGATAATTTCATAAATACATGATTGGTACAGTAAGACCGTGTTAATTCTGTGTTTGAAACTGGTAGTCATTAGGACTTTGCTTTGAAAGCCTATCATCTTGGATCTTATTTTCAAAAATTCAATCTGATGTTAAAAGATATGTCATAACTTGGGTTTCAGACTTTAGTGCTTCAGAAATGTGTTTACATACTTCATCATGTAATTATAGCTATTTAAGATAGATAAGGCAAATGGTAGCTATATTTTGGAAATATAATTGAAAAATGCAGTTATCCAGAAGTATTTGTGAGTATGATATCTCTGAGAAGCTGCTCAAAACTACAGAGGTTGAAGTTAAATTTTTGATGTTGTCACTCTCAATCTATTGAATGGCTGACAGACAATCAAACCCTTCTGGCTGGCTGGCAGCTCATTTTGCCTGGCAGGTGGCAAACAATTAGACACACCAATTTGTGCCTCCTGATGACATTAAAGCATGAAACTAAGTTGTATGCAGGGCCTAGTGATTTGTGTGAAAGCATTTCAAAAATAATACTCTTTGCCGTGGCAACTCATTTCAGACTGCCACCTCCGATTATAGCTTTGAGCAGTGAAGACGACAGACTTGAGTTACAGGCAGTGCGAGGCCGCTTCTGTTCAATCCTTCATCTCGCCCCCTGAGACCTCAATCCCTCCTTTCATCAATATCACCTCATCATTTACATTTGATAGTAGTTGAACTATTGCATATATTAACTATACTGGAGGCCCTTTTCCTAAAAAGAATTAAAAATATGCTTTGTGCACCTCAATTTCATTTCTACTTAGAATTATGATTCTGCTCCCATTGCATTTTACATAAAAGCTACCAAGAATAAATCAAAGGGTTCTATTTTTTAAAAACAATATTCTCAAAATGTAATAAATTTTGAATAGCTAAGATTATTGGCATTCAGATGATTGCTTTGTTAAGATTTATTGGGGGGAAAAACCCTGTTCTAACAATAATCCAAACTTACACAAAAAATATGTTACTTACTCTTTATTTCACTAGATTCTCTTATGCAAATTACCATAGTTCTCTGTACTTACTGTTTTGTATTTTAACAAAATTTAAATATGTAACTTAAAATTAAATGGAACACAAACTTTCATTACCTTAAATTGTCATAACATTAATTTATAAAACTATATAATTAAACATACTTACATGCATATTTATATGCACTCATAAACACATATACCCAGACATCCCAGGACCATAAACCAAATAAGTGAGATAGAGGACACAAATATGAAATGGCATAGGAACATCCAAGAAACCACAAGAATGAACCTCCAAATATTAACAAACTATTTTTAAAAGAAATATCGGTCTACATTTATAGACCTCTCTTTCTTTTACTTTTTTAAATTTTTGACACTTAACACATTTTATCTTATATGAAAATTATTTGCAAGCATTTTTATCTCCTCTAAGTACCTAAAAGACAAAAGATTAAATTCATCTTTACATACTAACAATGACCAATGCCATTTATATTTTCACAATAGATTTTCAAGAATAATCTGTAGGACACTGGTTAAAATGTGTATGGGCAAAGTTTAAATTATATTCCTATATAAAAGAAGATAATCCTCACCCTTAAAAACCAAAAAATTACTGTCTATAATTTATACAAGGCAGTTTGACTATTTTAGATATTATATTTTGACTATATATTTATTTTGACATTATAGGTTAAGAAACATTTTATTTCCTAACAGCTTCTTTATAAAAAAGAGTTGCTTGCCAATCACTTCACACACATACTTTTTGTGTAGGAAAATGTGTTTTGAACATTCAGAAAGTCAAAAAAAGTATGTAAGCATAATTTGGAATATGTATCAATCCCAGTATCAAAGTTAAGTAATATTGTTAGAATTAATGATTATCCTAAAGTAATTTTCTAATGTTGCACATGTTTTTTAAATAGTAGGATGTATTATATGCACACGTTCTTTGGCTCTAAAATATTTTATTCTTCTGTGGCAAGTATAACGAAACAGAAAACAAAATTCTTGGTTCTCAACTAAAAGTTCCTTGTACAATTAATATCTGAATATAAACAGATAAATGGGGCCATGTTATAAATCATTTAGAACCCTAAAATACCTTTCAGCAATATTTACTTTCAAATGTCTTTCAACAATACTTACTTTCTAATACTTGCTTCAAAATATGGCTTTTACATGGATAATGTAAATTCCATGAGGAAGATGATCACACATTTAAAATTTTTTTCCATATATCTGCATTTAAAACTCAAATTTAAATATTACTTAAGGCAGGCTGCTTAATATCCAACAATTATTAGAGTTTTCATTAATAATGTAATGGAATTTTAGAGCCAGAGTAGACCTTGACAAAATCTGGTCTTCCCCATTTATATCCATTAACAAATTAAGTCCAAAAAGATAAAATGACTTCCCCAGTGCAGTGTAGTCACTCGATGGTTGATTATGATCAGAATCTGAGTTTCTCTATTTCTAATTCAATGTGATATCCTCCATATCATATTGAAACCCCTTTTTTAGAGATATATTATTAAAATGCCATACTATGAGATTAATCAAGGTGGTCTGTCACTTAGCTATCATCTGTAGTAAGAATCTATATTAATAAATCTAATGTTTTCAAGACCCCCTAATATTTTTAAATTAACAGATTCAAATTTTCCTTCCATGTGTGCAGCACTGTAAGTAATTAGTTCAGTACCTACCTGTCAAAGGAATGAAACTGCATAGGAAGAATAGCTTGTGCTTCTCTTTTCAATGCTGGATCTGGGTATGGAATAGGATCAGGGCCACATTCTGCAATTTCAACTGGAGCAGCGACAAGGCTTTTCAATATTTCCTTGACATTGATGCCTTTGGTTTGACTAATGCTAGATATGGATGGTGCAGGCTTCAAAATTTCACTAGGATTCTCAGTTAAGCTTTCTTGTGATTTTTTCACTTCAGAGGACAACGTGGATAACAGTTCACTCATGGCATCAGGGCCTGCGCTAGGCTCTAATTCTGCCCCATTCAAGATGCTAACCACATGCTCCTCTCCAATTCCTGAATCTGTATGAGGAATGGAACTTTCTAGCTGAATATCTTCACCAGGGGTTGGTGTTTCTTTCTCCTTTATAGTGTCTGGAAATGCAGCAGGTGTTTCTGTAATGAAAGGAAATGCTTTCAATAAACTCATAATTGGAAACCTAGTAATAATAATAAAATAGTTTCACATATTAGAGAAAATAAAACCTGTAATAAACAAAAAGTCTGCTATCTGGATGTGCAGGACAACTGGATTAAAACATATCCATATATATCTGTATTTGTTTAGCAAGCATCAACAGAATCCTGTTTCTATTATAAGCCATTTGGCATTTCAAAACAGATGTCTTTAAGAATAGGGAACAAAGTTCCCACATAATTTTTCATAACAGCTCATAAATAATTATTATATGAAGTTCCTCTTTTATCATTTTATTGTTAGCAAAAAATATTGAAGATATTTTTATACTTCTCTAATATTGTCCTTAAAAATGTCATTTTTATAACTTTTATGGTACTTCAATAATCAATGTCTAATTAAAACATTTAAACTAGTGGAAGATACTTTAAAGTTCCAAGAACAAAATGCATAAAATTCTAAGGAGTTAATTGCAAAAATCATGTCAAATGATTAGTTAAAAATAATACTTTAACCAGAAAATAATGCTCCTCAAGGATTTAGCCTACATGTGCCTTTCTTCAAGAATAATTATTTTAGAGTACTTATTTCTTGTGAATAAATATAAACTTCAATTTATGAAAACTTAATTAGAAAAATATAGGTATGAAATACACATATAACATTACCAATTAAAATAGATAAAAAGAAAAATATCTTTAAACTATTAAATTTATATTAAATCTCATTATACAAAGGTTAATATAATAAACTTCTCCACATAATAAAAAGGGACTTATGTAACACTTTCAACAATAAATATAAAAAAAATGAAACCATAGCCAACATATACAAATAGTTAAAAAATTGTAAATGATGACCTTAAAAAGTTTATCTAAATTAGAATATGATGGAGATAATAACAGATCTTAATTTTATAAAGTCATGATGAAGAAGAAAATAAGATACTACATGAAAAGTATTTGCAATTCCTCCTTAGATTCTTAGTAAATGTTAGTTAGTTAGAAATAATATCTTCATATTATTCAATATTCCTAGTCCTATCTAATAAAAGAGAAACATGGTAATTAGCGTACGACCGCTCCCCTTCCCATTGGCTAATCAGGGAGATATGCAAATTAACTGCCAGCCAAGATGGCAGCCAGCAGCCAGGCAGCTAGAAGCTAACATGGGGCTTGCTTGCTTTAGTGACGGAGTACTACGTTCCCCGCCTGCTTTGCCGGCCTCTGAGCTTGCAGTTTCAAACATTGTAACAAATATATAAGCTAAACAAAACCCCAGAAACCGGCTTTCAGCCCTCCAGGATCTCAGAGCTGGAGTTATACATTGTTTCAGTTATAGAACACAAACCAACCAGATACCTGCTTTCAGCAGCTGAAGCCTCAGAGCTGGAGCCAGAGCTAAAGCTGGCCCAGAATAAAAAAAAAGAAAAAAAGGAGCAGTTGGGAGCTTCAGTCACCCATCAGCCTGAAAACAGCCCACAGCCCCTCACCCAGACTGGCCAGGCACCCCAGTGGGGATGCCCACCCTGATCCAGGACACCCTTCAGGGCAAACCAGCCAGCCGCACCCATGCACCAGGCCTCTATCCTATATAGTAAAAGGGTAATATGCCTCCCAGCACTGGCATCAGCAGAGCCACGAGGCCTCCCAGCACCAGGATCAGTGTGACAGGGAGCAGCACCCAAACCCCCTGATTGCCCTGCGGCTCTGTGTGTGACAGGGTGTGGCATCCCAATCCCCACCCTGCCTCCCCACGGGCCCTGCTCTGTGTGTGACAGGGTAGAGCCATAACCTTCCCATTGGCCCTGCCCTGAGTGTGAGAGTGGTGGCGCCCCAACCCCCTGATCGGCCCTGCTCTTGGGTGATAGAGGGTGGCACCCCCACCA